ATAAAGTTATTCTAAAGTTTTAATTAAGAAAATTATTAGTAATTGCATTAAAAAATTTCAAAGATAGCTTTTATAAAATAAGTTTAGTAACAGGTAAATTTTTACTATAAACTTGGTAAAATAACTCTGCAGTTTCAGTTTTACTAAGAAAACTTAGTAATAATCACTATTATGACTTCAAAATCATTTTATTAGTAAAAAATATTTCTGAAGCTATGAATGCATTTTATTACTAGATTTCTTAGTAAAAAATATCTCTGAAGTTGCAAATGCATTTTTACTATATTTTTCTTAATAAAAAGGCATTTCTGAAACTATGAAGATACTTTTTGCTATAGTTATCTTAGTAAAAAGGCATTTTTAAAGCTGCGAAAACACTTTTCTTAGTAAAAAAAGTATTTCTAAAGCTGCAGAGGTATTTTTTACTATAATTTTCTTAGTAAAAATCACCACTGAAACTTTGGAAATGGCTTTACTATTGATACAAATTAAATTAAATATTTGAATACTTGATTTGAATTTGATTGAATCAAATCAAACATTAATTTAGATTTGATTAAATAAATCATTCATTGATTTGAATTTGATTTGATTTTCAAATCAAATATTCAAATATCAAATTGAATTGTGAAACCCTAGTATTATACATTAAGTAACTTTTCCTAAAGCTATAAAAACGATTTTATCACTTTAAGATAATATAAGAGTAAGTAAGTATAATATAATATTTTTTTATTTTATAAATTTAAATTTTATTAAATTTTATTTTTTACTAGATTATGGCAATTACCCATTTTGATCTTTTGTTGCTTTTAGTCAATGATAGTAAGTAATAGAAACGATCGCTCCTTTAATGTCAATTGCGAAATAGGAAATTTTTAATCAAAAAAAAATTCAAATTAGGAATGTTCTATGCTGATCGTTTGCTTATTAAAAAGATTGAATGAAAATAGGGAGGAGGTAATCACATGTAAACATTTGAAATAACCAAACTATAATAAAACTATAGAATGAAAATTCTCCAAGTTTCTAGCGTTGGATCGTCAAAACATAAATTGTTTAAAATAAATAGTTTAATTGAAAAATGTCTAAATTAGATTCAATTGATTCAATTTTAGTTGATAAATTACCAAAACCCGAAGAAATTTTTCAATTAAAAAATGATTATATCGAAGGAGAACCATTAAAATTTGTTTGGATGGTTGAAGAGCATTTAACCGAAACATTATGGTGGCCTTCCAAGAATAATGAAGAAAATTTGATATTATTTGTTGTTCCCGGAAATCCTGGCGTAATTGATTATTATTTTGAATTTTTGAATACAATTCATCATGAACTTGGAAAGAAAATCGACATCGTTGGAGGTTTCGTATAATTATTAATTTGATTTGTTCATCGAAATGGAAATATTTCGTGATCTTGATAAAAATTATATCAACTTCAAAATAATAATAGTTTCAATGCTTGGACATTCTCACGGACCTCATAATCCATCCTTAAAAAATCTATATTCGCTTCAAGATCAGATTGATCATAAAATTCAATGTGTTGATAAATTAAGATCACAATTCACTTCACAAGAAGATGGGAAACAACCTAAATTCATTATTTGTGGACATTCAATCGGTGCATATGTTGGTTCTCAGGTATTTACATCAATAATGTTGAAGTAAGAAAATCTGTTTAAGAGGATTAATTCTGATTTGATTAGGTATTGAAAGCGAGGCCAAATCATGGAATTGAAAATATTTATGCTTTGTTTCCTACTTTGCAAAATATGGTAAAAACTCCTAATGGCATGATGATGAATGTAAGTTATTGAATCAACTTTTTAATTTTTTATATGCAATAATGAGTTAATGTCATATCTAATCCTAAGTCTTCATATCTCAACATCTCAGTTCTTATTTAATGAACGCGCACGTAGTTTAGCCGCATCAACCGTTGTAAATTTACGTTATTTTGTTCCACAAACTTTATTTAAATTCTTTGTCTCCCAATTGACCCGTCAAAAAGAATCCATGATAGACATTACATTGTCTGCTCTTCTTCATGGACATGTCGTGGAAAACGCATTATATATGGCAGATATTGAAATGAAAACTGTATGTGAATTAGATGAAGAATTCTATAGAGAGCATATAGATAAATTTATATTTTATTTTAGTGAAGGTGATAAATGGGCACCACTTGAGCATTATGAAGATATGAAAAACAGGTTTCCTGAGGGAAGAGTGTTATTATGTGAAAAGAATACACCACATGCTTTCGTATTGGATCATGGTGAAGTTATGGGGAAAAAAGTTGCTGGATGGATGTTGATGCTTCCCTAATCAAACTCACGTTTCACGTTTAATTCTCTTTAATCCTTTTTTTTTTTATTAATTAATCAATTTATTTATTATTCAAATTACTGTATTATGATTTAATAATTATTCAATAAACTATTTAACCTCCAAGCATATAAAAAAAAGGTACTTGAGGGTTTCCATAAAATCTACTTCCTTTTGATGAAACCCAACAAATCCACTCGAGGAATTAATTTTTAACATTATTTGTAGGATTCTTTAATGATTTTAATTAATTGAAAATCATTTTCAAAATCTTCCAACATAAAATACACAAGGAAATTTCTTCAAGAAAAGTCCAATGGATTTCCTTTTACCATCTGTCGTAACTTGATTTAAAACACATTTGTAAATTTTGAGGAACATCCTTTAAAAAAAGAAGTTTTTTTTTTTTTAGTTGATTTTAATATAGTTGTTTCCATTTGCTTCGCGACTTGTGTAAAATTTGCAGTATTTTTATATTCATTATAATCGTTTGATATATTTAAATGATTCAGTTGGTTAATTCGTCGCTTTTCTAAAATTTCCTCTCCAATTTTTTTTATATTATTAACAATTCTAAATATAACTGGATTATTAATACAATATTTTCCTTGGATCAAATTGGTGCTGGATGTATTTGACTGTGATAAATATTTTCTTGTTATTTTATAAAAATCTATATGTAAAATCTCTTTAAAGCAATTTGTTCTTAATTATTTATTGAATAATTTTTAATGTATAAAAATTATTTATATAATTTAAAAATATAAACCATTTATCATAAAAACGAGATATAAAATGATTTTATTGGTATTCTCTCGTCATTTTTAAAAAGTGTTAACGTATACACGTTAATTTTAAAATGATTTCCCAAAATTTAACTATTGTTATTAATTTATTTAGTTAAGTAGTCTTTTATTCTAGCAAGAAAACTTCATATGTATCATTGTCTTCGTTTATAAATCCCCCTTCTCTATATACTTCTTCGTTCTCTTCATTCATGAAGTCATATTCAGTATTCACATCATCCTTACCTTCATATATATCACTTTCAATATCCATATAATCCGAAAAGTCATTGTTATTATTAATGACGACCTTGTCTACGATACTTTCATTTGTCTCACCCTTGTTATCGACACCAATTGAATTATTATTGTCTTCTTCATCGGTGTCACCATGATACAATTCACTTTCTCCTTCTGATTCACCATGATGAAATTCACTTTCTTCTTCCTCCATATCAGACAAATCGAATTTTACATAATCATTGTGTAATCTCATTCGAATTTGTACTCCAATAATAAATTTTCTCCATCTTGCTAGAACTTCTTTTTCCCGCTTTGCATTATTCTTGGCTTCAACAATACTTGCATGTTCATGCCATGCCTATTCATGAAAAAAAAAAAACTAAATGGTTCAACATCATAATTCAGAATATCATCTCTTCTCTTCAAACAGACTTACCTCAAGTAACATAGTTTCACTTTCCTTTGCAACGACGATTCCATGGACTACGGGGATGCATCGACGAGCTTGGAAATCAAATCCAACCTAATAAATCGATTCATAAACTTGATATTTGAGCTATCAATCATTAAAATCGATAAATTATTAAAATAAACTAAAGTCATATTTACTTACCACAGCATCTCCATAGGCAATACCTAATTTCTTTGCAACCTTTCCAATTCCATTGACTTAATAAATAAGAAAAATATTAATATAGTAATTGAGCGTATAAATAAATGTATAGTAAACTAATAACAGTTAACTTACTTGGAATATGGACACCTCCAATTGGACACATGCTTTCCTTAAACATATTCACATTACCATAAGAATTCTTTGGTATCTTACCCTAATTAACAAAATTGTCATTTCAATCAAAATGTAATTATGAATATTAAAAAAAAAATTATTGTTATAAGCAATTTAATTTTTTAAACTTACATTCATTATCGGCTCAGGTATATATTCTTCAGTTTGCCACTCACCGTATAAACCAGACTCAGGGGGTTCTTCATCATATAAGGAAGCCATATTTGCAGCACGACGTTTTGATAAGGTGTAAATACGCGATTTTACGTGTTTTACAGGTTGTTCCCCAATCTAATCATATAAAATACGAGGTAAGAATTATGAAAGACATATAGTAAAATATATAAATAAAAATTTTCCTTTTTACCTTGACTTGTCGACCTTCCCTTAACCAAGTTTCAGCTGTATGTAACTAAAATAATTATAAGTAATTGTAAAGAAGCTGTGGAATGATAAATCATCAGCAGCATACTTGTTTAACATTCCTACGTGGATAAATTGGTTCATCACGAATGCGCCCTATTATTGGTTGTCTTGGATAAATTATTTCGAACTTTTTTAAATGACGCTCGAGAGCATACCTAATATATTAAAATGGTTTATCTAGAAGCATTACTAAAATATTGGGTTTGATATGAAAATCATCTATAATAAATCATTCCTATATAAGTAGGGTTTATAAGTAATTGTATCTTACGTACAAAGGATGGTTATTGAATGCACCAATTGAAGTTGGCATACGTTCGGAAACTTCAAGTTTATGTAAATGAGCATCTTCCTCATTGTCTTGTTTCTATAATTATAGAAACCTTAACAAAAAAATATCTATATCGTAAAATACAAAATATTTTATACATACACTTTCATATGGACGTGCAAAATAAACTAATGTCTCATGCCACCAATCATAACCATCTTTGGTGACAGGCACTCGTAATTTTCGTGTTCGCGCTCCCCATTGTGTAGCATAACGACGCGTCACGTCTTTTATATAGCCATCTATTTTCACAACTTATTATTTTATATTCGTTTATAATATACGATTTATTCAGAAAATTACCTTGTTCATATGCAACTACATAAGCCATAATATTATCTGTGACATTAGACGCAGGCTCCATTGCTTGTGGTGAGTTCACTAATGCACGAACTGGATCTACACAAATCCATTTTTTATAAGCTGCAAAATAAACCTCACACCAGAATATTGGAGGTATATCGGATTTTTGTAAATCTTACGGTATATAATAAAATATATTAGTCGAATCAAAAAAAAAAACATTTTTTTTTTAAAAAAATATCGATATTTACAATTACTGCCATCTTGTTTACGTCCTTTTTTTGAAATACTACGTTGCTTTTTCGAGTGACCAACACGGGTATCTTTATTTGATAAAAGATTATAATCATCGTAACCATTATCGACATAGTCTCTCTTTGATTTACTACCATTACTGTTCTTTCTGTTTGCATTGAGTTTATATTTTCCAAGTCCAAGTGTTCTCTGAACTTCTTCATTGGTATTATTATTCATCGAAATTTCATTATTTGAATCGTTATCTTCTTTCCTGTTTCGAGAAGCAGCAACCTTGTTTTTATGAGCAAATCTAAAAGAAACCGCTTGTAAAGAACATACTAATCGTGCAGGTATTCCTAGTGAACGTAATGCGACAACAAATAATTGCGCAGATGTGTCACGGCTTCCTTCTCCTACCCTAAGACTACTTCGAAATTCGTCAATAGATGGTAAACAATCAGAAAATTCATCATTCTAAATTATAATTATTATAATGATTAAGAAGCTGAATTTACTAATAAACTTATAAAAAAGTCGACAACTTTACCTCAAAGAACTTTTCCACTCCTTCCTCTCCAAATTCATGATATTCCCTATTACGAATTCCAGGTTTTGTGATTATAAAATAATCTTTCCACCATTTACTTAAATCTTGTAATGCTATAGTCAATAAATTGGCGTGTTTAACATCAATCTTTACCAAAGCTTTGTCAAATAAGGCTTGTAATTCATACTCGATTAAAGAAAACGCCATTGCCTATAAAAATATAATTTATTAATGTATATCTCATAAGAAATCAAATATTTCAAGTATTCATACCTGTGTCATTTCATCATTACACCAATCGTTCCTAATTATACCATGGGCTAGTAGGGTAAGCAAGTGGGCTTTGTGAATATTTTGTCGAATAGCTCGCTCTATTTTAGTGATACCTCGAGCTCTGATATAATTAAATTATTATTATAATATTAATTTCTGACAAGAAATTATGTAAAATACATAATTAAATACTCTATTATTCGAAAGAGCTAAAGGCACAATACTTGTATTGTATCTTAGGCATCTTAAAGGTCAGCTGAATCGTTTTATTCGGGAATGGTCTAGATTCTGATACATTGTCAGATTGATCTAAAAATGCAAAAAGTCAACTATTCTTCTTCACCTCGTTATTGTTTGTTTAGATCTTAAATTTACACTTACCTTGATATTCAGAAAGGTCTACTTCTTCCCAATCATCACTATCATCGTCTTCTTCATTCACATTATTTAATTGCAGTGAAGTTCCATTATTATAGGAATCATTATCATTATCATGGCTTTGACCGAATTTCCTTTTTTGTAACCAAGAAAAATCAATAGGCTCAAGAACGCTTTTGGACCCGTCGGAATGTTGGAAAATCTCCTTTGATTTTCCCTTATTGATAGAAACATCAATTAAAGGTAAAATGCTCTCCCTTGATTTTCCTTTATTAATAGATGTTTCAACAGGCGTTACAAGTACATCAATAACATCTGTTTCCCCTTCATAAACAACAGTTTTTGAAGAACGACTGATATCCTCAGTTGGAATTCTTGCAGGCGTCATAATAGCGTCTTCGACACCTTTTTTCGATCTGACTTTTCTTTTAGGAGTCACAGTAGGTTGCTCAACACTTTCATTTTGTTTGTTCTTATCAGTTAAAGTGGCAATGCGTGCTGATCTTCGAAGACTCATAATATATTAACAATATTTACTTATTTACTGTTAATAAAAAAATGTGAGAAGTAAGAGAGAGATCGGTGTAATTCATTTTTAAATGAACATTTACTCCCGTAATACAAAAATATAAATTTGGTTAATTCATACTTTTTTTACCTCGTGGCTTATGTGAAATATGACTATTTTAAGTATGTGTTGTAATTTGTTATTTAACATTAAGAGCATAAGAGAAAAAAAACCATAGAAAAAAAGCCGGGGCTTTTGCAATAGAAAGGGGGGAAATTGCCGGAAAAATCAAAAGTGAGTTAATGCTAAATTTGAAACATATTTCAGCCTAAAAATCATATTTAGTAAAATTAATTTTTCCCATATGATCGTCCATTTAAAAGCCAAACACAATAAAAAAAACACATTTAGCACTGTGGCAAGATAAGATTTTGACAGATATATTAAGAATCGGTTATAAACAGCTCAAGTTGAGTGACGCGCTAGCATTATTACCATATAACCGAAATATAGAATTATGAAATTCAAAAAATTGTTTCTTGAGCAATATCATCATCAAACCTATGTATTGATATAATCTGTTTCACAAGGGACCTTTGTAATAAAAATGAATTTATTGTTAAATCTGAACACATTTATATTTCGATCTGAAAATCATATTTGGAATATAAAAGAAATTTAATTTTTCCTAAAAGTTTCCTTTAATTTAATAATAATTATTGTTTAAATAATGGTAGATAACTTGGCTTAAATAATAATCGTTTTATTCAATAATTTTCAATAATTTTCATTATAAAATTAATTTTAAATATATTACTATAAAAAAATAATAAATAATTTCTTAAATTAACAAGTAAAGTTTCTTTCCCTTATGTATTCTAGGGAGAATTTTTTCACCACTAAAAAATATTTGTTCACTCCACCAGTCACATGAGATAATAAAAAATAAAATAAATATACTTTATATTTTTACAATTTATTAATCATTTTATTAATGATTTATTTAAATATAACGAAAAAGTTGATATAAAAATTAAGAAGCTGAAGCTTCTAGAATCTTTTTTAATAAAGTAAAAAAGATGATATTGATTTTAAGTGAACCAAAGACACACAATGTCAAGTGAGGGTAAGAGACTTCATTCTAAAATCCTCATAATAACATTATATCACCCATTTTTGCGGAACTGATTTTAGCATTACTAAATTACCTCTATATTAGCTATAATCACTATCACACAAAAATTCCTAACATATGTATCATTTTTATTAGTAATTAAACCTCTAGTAATCACATAATTTTTTATTGATCAATTTAAGTATTCTATAAAAGGATCTTTTATGTGACATTTTTGGTAAATGTGTAAGTAAATATGTAAAGTTTTACTGTTTTTGTATGTAATCACTTATTCTTGCATAACTACAATTATTTACTAATATAAAGGTCTGGGTGAATATGAAAACTGTGGAATAAAATTTCCGTTTTTTTTTTTTTTTTTTTAAAAAAAAAAAAGACCATCCAATTTTTTTCACAATTAAAATTAAAGTAAAGTATTTTAGACTTATATGGTTATTTTAAAATTACTATTTAGTCTACTACTTCTCCTGTAGAAATTTATCTACAAACAAAAAGAATTCCAATAGTATTTTGCTAACAATGGGATTCTTTTTTAAAGTTATCATTTTACAGTATAACACATTTGATCATCAATGCATTTGTAATCATATAAATCTGCAGAAACAGATCATAACTTAAAAAAACTTTCTCAAAAGTGCCTCCTGTTAGACTCGAACCAAAACAGCATCGTTCAGCTATAAGTGATGACATAAAACATCAAATATGTGAGTGGTCAAAGGCAAATGAAAGTAAATGACACGTGGATATTGCAAACCACTTCAATGAATGTACTCTAATTTGAAGATTGATAAAAACACAATTTCAAAGATTTTGTTACAAAGTGATAAGTGAAAAGCAATAAATGCTAAAAATTCTGCTCAAAAATTTAGACTTAAAAAGGTTAAGTTTCCAGTTTTTAAGCATGCAATGAGCTTATGGGTAAAAAATGTAACAGCCAGTGATGTAATATTAATGGATTTGTTAATAAAAGAAAAGCAAAATCTTTGCTAAAACTTTTAATATTCAAGAAGAAGATTTAACTTTTTCTAATGATTGACTACATAAGTTAAAAGACATAATAACATTTGTAGATACCGTATGCATAGTGAATCAAGAAGTATGCTTTTAGTATCTCTTTCAGAAGAACATACAAGGTTACTATCAATTTTAAGTCGATATATTCCTGACTGAATTTACAACATTGATTAAACAGTAAGTTTTTTCCAGTTTTTATCATCACTGTTATGTGAAAAGTAGAACCAGCAGGCTGGTAGGACTATAAGACCGATCATCTTTATATTACAATAGAAGTAAAAATACTCTCACATTAGCTAAGGTGATTCAAAAATATAAAACAAATGAGTTTATCAATTTTGCATAAGGAGGATGGCTTGGAACTTTATTAAGAAGGATTTTGATATAATCAGAAATGAGAGAATTAATGGCTATAACTTTTTTAAGATAACTAAAAAGAGATTGAATAATATGAAATGAAATTGGATCAGTGACTAGACTTGTGGACTTCGTTAAGAAGATTAAGTAGAAGAAATTAAAGTATTCTCAACATACTGCAATTTAGAGGTATGCTCTGATGAAATCTATTCAATCCGTCATCCGATCTGATCAAAAAATAGATCATTCAGATTATGAATGAATGGATCGCGTATAATCTGAATGTGATTCTCAGATAATATCGAATTGATCGAACGTTATGCAAATGACTGGATTGATTTGATAATCCAGTCATTTTATTTTATTTTATTTTTTTTTAAAAAAAAAACCCCCCTTTTTTTCTTTAGGATCAGACATAGACATAGACTTGGACTTCAGAATTTAGGATTAAAAAGTATGTTGGAATAGGAGGTAAATTCAGTTTTTTTTTTGGAATATTACTAACGTTTCTTTCTTTCTTTTTTTTTTGTTTTTCTTTGTTTTTCTTTGTCTTTGGAACATCATTAACGTTTCTTTTGCTTCTTTTTTAGGGAACGCCTTCCTGGACCTGAATTTCAGTTGGGCTATAAAGGTAAGTTGGTGCTTTTATTTTTTCTTTGTTATTGAGAATGTCATTAATATTCCTTTTGCTTCTTTTCTTTAAAGGACCTGGATTTCAGGTTGGACTATGAAGGTAAGTAGTGTGGAAGTATTGTTTTTGTTCTTCTTTGTCTTTGGAACTCTATTAACGTTCCTTTTGCTTCTTTTTTAAGGGTCACCTTCCTGAACCTGGATTTCGGCTGGGTTATAAAGGTAAGTTGGTACTTTTGTTTTTTCTTTGTCATTGAAAACATTATTAACGTTCCTTTTGATTCTTTTCTTTAGGAGACCTGAATTTCAGCTTGGACTATGAAGGTAAGTAGTGTGGAGGTATTGTTTTTGTTCTTCTTTGTCTTTGGAACTCCATTAACGTTCCTTTTGTTTCTTTTTTTAGGGGTCACCTTCCTGAACCTGAATTTCAGCTTGGGATATGAAGGTAAGTGGTGTGAGGGTATTGTTTTTGTTTCTTCTTTGTCTTTGGAATGCCATTAACGTTCCTTTTGATTCTTTTTTTTAGGAAACGCCTTCCTGAACCTGGATTTCAGCTGAGTTATGAAGGTAAGTTGGTGCTTTTGTTTTTTCTTTATCATTGAGAATATCATTAACGTTCCTTTTGCTTCTTTTCTTTAGGGGACCTGGATTTCAGCTTGGACTATGAAGGTAAGTAGTGTGAAGGTATTATTTTTGTTTCTTCTTTATCTTTAGAACTTCATTAATGTTCTTTTTGCTTTTTTTTTAGGGGTCGCCTTCCTGAACCTGGATTTCAGCTTGGGATATGAAGGTAAATGGTGTGAGGATATTGTTTTTGTTTTTTCTTTGCCTTTGGAATGCTATTAACGTTTCTTTTGCTTATTTTTTTAGGAGACGCCTTTCTGGACCTGGATTTTAGCTTGGATTATGAAAGTAAGATGATGTGAGATAAAGATAAGCACCATAATTAAGAAGTTACAACTCGGTATGTTGCAACTCCTTGTAAATTTATTTTAATATAAAAATTTATAAATAGTTGCAACTAGTTAAAAATTTTAAAAATAATTATGGGAATTATCTTTAGTATGAGGGATTATTTTTGTTTCTTTATCTTTGGAATGCCATTAACATTTCTTTTGCTTTTTTTCTTGTGGTTTTTTTTTGTTTTTCTTTATCTTTGGAATGCTATTAATGTTCCTTTTGCTTCTTTTCTTTAGAGGATGCTTTCCTGGGCTGTGATTTCGATTTGGATTATAAAAAGAATAGATAAATTTCACTTTTTTTGATTCAAGAATGATACTATAAATATTTCTTTGATTTTAGCATAAAATTTACATACTTTAAATGGCTAATTAAAAAAAGAATAGATTCGCTTTTGTAAAACAATTAAGATATTTTATAAAATTTCTATATAAAGCTTTTGTTTTATCTAATTTTAAAAAAGATTGGTTGTTTCATAAAAATATTTGTTATACATACTCCTTTTTTTTTGATTTATACATCCTTTTTTTTTTTACACACGCTCTTTTTTTTTTTTGTAAAAAGTTTTCACATTTTTTGAAAATAATCAAAATAATTCAAATAAAATTCAAAAAAAAGAGAAGGGTCATAAAAAAGAAGTTGGGTATGGAATTGGTTTGTATCTAATAATAAAATTGCTACATATCAAGTAGAGGTTATTACAAGTAAAATACAGTCACACCTCGATATAACGAAGTTGCCAATCCAGCTGATCAGGACTTCATTATAAGAATCTTCGTTATAGCGTTAACGAATTATTCGTTATAGTAGATGATTACTGATTTCAT